GAAAGAGGGTGTGGCCGAGCCAACGTCCGCCCGCCTATTCATCTCGGCTATCTGCCTTTCCATGGCCTCCAACCTTGCATCCTGTGCGGCCCTTCCGGGGGACACAGGGGGCGCGGCTTCGGGGACGGCATTCTGCTGAGCGGCCACAGCATCGTGCGGCCGCCTAAAGATCTGCGCACCTCGCCGTTGGAAACGTCGTCCAACGGTGTTGATCCTCGGGGTCTCGTCTCCCCGCGGGATTTGGCGGGGGACTGATGGTGTGTGAGCCCTGGATGCAGCGATGCTGACTCTGGTTCGCCCTCCCGTTCCACGGGAGCCTGAACCCCCACCTAGCCGCTCGTGGACTGAGGGCCGGTGGTCGCTGGATCCTGTCGTATCGTCATACGACTGCATGCGGCGTATGGGAGAGAGGGGCGTTCGCTGGGTACTTGCAGAGTACACCTGGTCTCGGGCCTCCCGCTCGTCTGCCAAGCGACGCATGGTGTCTGCGAGTTCCCGCATGAGGCGGGGATCCTGCCTGGCTTCCAGAGGAATGAGGTCAGTGATACCCCCGTTTCCCCCGGAGGTCCATATTGTTGCGGATAGTTCCGAGTTCTCGCCGCGATTCCGGCGGCTTGATTCCAGACGCTCGGAGAGATCACGCTGGTTGTTGCTTCCTGACATCGTGTTTGCTGTAGGTAGACTTAGTAGCTGTTTGGGAGAGTTTCTGGAAACTTTTTGCTCAGTTTCCCACAGACGGCGCCAGTGTGGAAGTTTATTCCTTCAATCCTTGGACCCAACACGTAAGCCCAAAGATTTCGAGTGGAGTGAGTGTATGAGTGTCTGGCCCAACAACTATGAGATGGAGCAGGAAACAAAGATAATAGCAGGAAATGTAAATAGGTATTATTAGCTTCGTAATAACTCCCCTAAGTACAATCTACTTGCTAAAAAGGGCACGTCGGCCGTTCGTCTTACAAGGCAGTAGAAATACTCTGAGTAAGAATACAATAGCTAGATGCTAAGAATAGAAAGTTGCCAACCCTTTACAATGAAATAAATGCTTCTATTTATACCCACCAATGGGCAGGTGGCTGTACTGACGTGGCAGCCTGTGGACCGCTGGTGTCCCAACTACCAAATCTTCAGCATTAAATGCACTTCCCGCCAGAATCTAGGTTTCCCGCCTGATTAGTGGGGACGTTCGTCCTCCCGGGAAGTGAGTTGGATTGCTCCGAGTGACCCTCGAAAGATATCGGCTGTTCGTCTCCTGGCCTTGTTGATACTTACCATGTGAACTGGGTCCCCTCCGATGACTACAGGCTTGCCCCGGGGACGTTCGTCGCCATCCCTGGTGGCCCGTGGTCCTGCTCCTTGTCCCCGCACAGCCGTTCGTCTGGATGAGTCTGCTGGGCCTGAGCCCCCAACATCAGACGTTCATCCATCCTCAAGGGACATGGGCATGTGGGCTGGCCTGGTGTTTTAACTGGACGTGCGTCTGGCAATATGGGTTAGTGGGCCGGACCTCGGCTTGGGCCCTTAACCCAACAGGGTGGTTCTCGGTGGAATTTTTTGATGAAATTGTTTGACCATCTTATTCATTAAGTCTAGTTTACTCATACCAAATTTCAGCTAACAATTCAATCGGGAAGACATTCAAATGAATTCTTGAAGATAATTGCGCTTTTAACTGCGCAGTTATTTTCAAAAATTCATTTGAATGCCTTCCCGATTGAAGTTTTAGCTGAAATTTGGTATGAATAAACTAGACTTACTGAATAAGATGCTCAAAAAATTTCATAAAAAAATTCCATCGGGAACCACCCCAAATGGCGACGGCCGGACAAAGCCTCTTAAATAAGGCCTTATTTGACATTTTTTTGTTAGTACGTGACCTTATTTGCACCTTTTCTCAATATAATTTAATAAGTTTTTATAAAAGGAAAATTACATTGATATGACATTGTAAAAATGAGCATAACATGAGTACCAAATGAACATACATAACTTACAAAGTGCACATTGATATGGGAATCGTAACATTTGTTAGTTGAACATCATGACATTTTAATTGATTTTTCAACCTCCACTATTGATACTTTTGAAATATGCATTGATATGAATTGTAAAAATGAGCATTACATTAGTAACAAATGAGTAATAATGAACTTTTAATGAGCATCAAACCTTTTATATTGAGAATTAGGAGTCCAATATTCAGAATCATGATCTCTGCTTCATAACTTCTAATTCACTTTCTTTTTTTTTGTTATTTTTTCTTTTATAAAAACTTATTACATTATCTTTATAATCAACTCCTATGAATTCCATTATGTGAATGTAATTTAGAATAGTACTTTTAAAAATGCATTGATATGACATTTACAAAATGAGCATAACATCAGTACCTAATGAGCATATGTAACATACAAAATGAGTATTAATGAATTTTTTAGTTGTTTTGTTAGTTGAACATCACAACATTTTAATTGAGCATCAAACCTTCGTTATTGAGATGAAATTCACGGTTTCTGCTGAATGAGCATTAATGAACTTTTAATGAGCATCAGACCTATTATATTGAGTATTAGAAGTCTAATATTCTAAATCGTGATCTGTGCTTCATAAAAAATGAGAATAATATCAATATCGATTGAGCATATGTAGTTTACAAAATAAGCATTAATATGTTGAGCATACGGACATTTTTCATTGAACATTAAACCTCCTCTACTGAGTATTAAAAGCGTGCAATTGTGTACCGATTGAGCATCAAGACATTTTTATTGAGTTCAAATCGCCTGTTAATGAGCATCAGATGTATTCTATTGAGCATTAAGAGTCGAATAATGAGTAATGTGATATCAATTTCATATATTGTAATTCACTTTCTTTTTTCTTTTTTTTTTCTTTTATAAAAACTCATTAAATTATAACTATAATCAATTCATATGAATTTCAATATGTGAATCGAATATAATATGGTACTTTTGAAATATGCATTGTTATGACATTTTAAAAATGAGCATAACATGAGTACCAATTGAGCATATGTAACTTACAAAATGAGCACATATATGAAAATCATGAGGTCTGTTAGTTGGACGTCACGATATTTTCATTAAGCATCAAACCTCCTATATTGAGATAAAATAACGCTTTATGTTAAATGAGCATTAATGAACTTTTAATTAGCATATGTAACTTACAAAATAAGCATTAATATGAAAATAATAAGCTTTGTTAGTTGAACATGAAGACATTTTTTTCATTGGGCATCAAACCTCCTCTATTGAGTATTAGAAGCGTGCAATTGAGTACCGATTGAGCATTCATAAATTATAAAATGAGCATTAGTATGATAATCATAAGTTTTTTTAGTTGAGCGAGCATGAAAACGTTTTAATTGAGTATCATGATCTCTAATATGACTTGAAATATGCATTGATATGACATTTTAAAATGAGCATTTTAACCAATACCAGATGATGAGCATACGTAACTTACAAATGAGCATTTAACCAATACCAGATGAGCATTCATAACTTACAAAATGAGCATCGAAAAAATTCAAAAGTTCAATTGAAATCTCTAATGTGTTCAAATATTCATTTGTGTATGTCTATTTCTTTTAATCGTTATACTCATTCGAAGATAACATAAACTTCTTTCTATAATTTGTACATCTAGTAGATTCATTATTAACAATTTAATAAACTATTATTATATATAACAATGTTTCGCTAAAAATGATTTATAGTCTTTTGTTCTTGAATTACAAATATAATCGTTTTGTTTTTATAATATTTACTCGTTCACATTTATTTTACACTATACACATTTTAATATAGCACAAAACTCATACGGAGTATCAGTAACAACACACAATATATACTAATAAATATTCATCTCAGAATAATACAAAAAAACACCAAAATAAAAAAATATATTACGTAGTATAATTGAACAAACACTAAAGTAAAGAATTGTTACCGAAGAAAGAACGAAGGAAACAAATAAAAGCAAGATTAGAAGAAACGAAAAGACAAAAGAAAAGACAAAAGAAAGAGATAAGTAACGAGCAGAAAAGCAAGGAAACAGAGAAAGAAAAAACAACAAAAGAGAAAAGCTGAAATTGAAGGCAACAGACGGGGAGAGTCATGCGACGGCGCGGCGGAAAAAATTAAAGGCAATAGTAAAAACCAACTTAACAAATACCCTTCAAACTGGAATTAATTACCAAAATGCCGGCTGTACCATGCTCATGGTACAGCCGGCTGTACCATGTAATTTGCGCATTTTCTGCGCTAAAATTTATCTCCACACCTCATGGTGACTTGGTCAAAAACATACGGAGTTACATTAAAAAATCGGTCTTGTGGAGGACCGGTCCGACCGGAGGTCGAACTATCGAAGTAAGTAGTGATAATTTAATTTAATCGGCAATTGAAGATGTAATTATTACGGAATATATGGTTAAACAAATTGTATTTTTCATGGAAGGAGGAGAGGATAAGATAAACGCCGTCGTCTGGATTCATTTCGTGCACGGATTCCTCGATATGCGCTAACGGTAAGAGCCAGAAGAAGCAGAAGATCAGAAATGGCTTCTTGCGAATTGAAAAAAATACGGAAAAGTATCAAATAAGCCCCGTACTATGCTGAAAAAGTCGATTAGACTCTCGTACTTTACAAACACTTAATTAAGTCCTCGAACTATTAAAAAACGTTCAATTAAGCCCTTTTGGTCGGTAAGTAACTCGTTTCCCGGTTAAAGGGCGACGACGGCGACGATGTGCTCGAACCCCAGCAACGTTGGCTGTCGAGAAACGGGTTACATTTAACCGGGAAACCGGTTACTTACCGACCAAAAGGGCTTAATTGAACGTTTTTTAATAGTCCAAGGACTTGATTGAGTGTTTGTAAAATACGAGGGCCTAATCGACTTTTTCGATATAGTATGGAGGCTTATTTGATAGTTTTCCCAAAAAAATAACATCAAACCCAATAATTCAGTCAATGAAAGATTCAACAATTTATAAAATTCAGCCAAGGTAATCGTGTATATCTTCTCGTTCTTTCTAAAGAATGACAAATACGGAGTATAAAACAAAAAAATGATTAATTACGTAATTTAGTCGTCATATGTGAACTATGGGAGCAATAGCTGTCACCCCCACGCCAATAATCAACGAATTCGAACACTTCTTATTTCCCCCACCGCCGCCGCCGCCGCAGGATGCGTCGGTCATTAGATTTCCGGCACCATTCATAATTCCAGATCGATCCTGTAACGCCGCATCCGCCGCCCGATCACATCCATCGCCGCCGTGCGATCCCCCCTGCCCCTCCTCCGCGCATTCATGCGGCGATTCGTCGCCAACGAGGGGGACACTGAGCGGCACGAGGCGTAGACGGAGGCGATTTCCGGAGCGGTAGGCCTCCAAGTACTCGTGGCGGTCGGATTTCACGCCGGTGATGACGAGTCTCCCGTCTTCCGTGTAATGCCGTTTCAGGACCCACGGCATTCTACACGACGACGAGTTTTCCGTCCTGGCAAGCCAGGGCAACGGCGGCGGAAATCCTCTGGCGGAATCTGTCAGTTCTCCCTTCTCCCCGTTCCACTCAACTCGGCGGGTGTTTGACGAAACAGAACAGATTTCTTACCTTTCATTCCAAAAAGTGCAATTTTTCTTGGGGTTTCCTGAGATAGTGCAAAACGGAGTTGGCAGGTCCGAAATCAGGTTGTCAGCAGTAAACTTATTTTCGGAGTTCCCAACCTCGAAAATGGAAGCTGCCAAATTCGTATTTAGCTCATTTCGGAGTTGGCAACTCCGAATTAGAAAAGTATATTTTTTTGTATCTTTTTTGTTGCCTTTAATACGGATTATTGGGCCTGCATTATCCCAAATGTTGTTTATGCTTATTGGGGCTGCATTATCCCAAATGTTGTTTTAATTTTTGTGTTTTGAAGTTTGTTTTATAATTGTGGTTAGAAATTGTATTTTGTTCAACGTAATTAAAAATCATACAATATTTGTAATTTAAGTTGAATTTGTGTCTATTCCCGATTTAGATCAAAATATGCGTTTTACAAAAAATTGACCCATTAAAATAAATTAGCACACGTTTTACAAAAGTGACCCATTAAATGTTTTGAGCACAAATAGTAAAAAATTAGTTACATTTACATTAACAAAATAATTTTTTGAACCTAATTCAAATTATAAAACCGTACCCATTAATAATGTGAACCCGGAAAAGATGAATACAAGTATGAACATGTTAATATATTTACAAGAACAAATTTTATTGATTACAATTACCAACATATTAAATCAATTCCACACTTTTTAATAATAGTTGACCCATTCAGTGTTATGAAGTCCAAAGTAAATACAAATACAGTTTACAATATAACACGATTAATTTATAAGTGACCCATAAAGTCATATGAATTCAAAATTAAACAAAGTTCATTGCACAATAAGTCATATTAAAGGTACATATAAAACATATGGCTAATAAATATTTTATAACATTAAAACAAAGTACAAAAAAAGATTACATTATAAGAGTACAAATACAAATCAATCATGTTGTCCTCCTCTCCGTCTTGGACGCATATCCATCTCATTTGGAAATCTCGTTTCTTGACGGCGCCCAGCTCGAGAAGTTCTGGAAGAGTACTTAGGCGGTAGAAGAATGAACTCATTTTGTGGCCACTCATTCATATTCGGAAATGGCATGATATCACTGGAATGTGCATTTATGTAAGAACTCAATTTGTATACCTCAGGAATAAGATTATTAACAGGGCAGCTAAGATAGTGGCACACAGAATGTGCATGGACGCATGGCATTCCGTTCATCCTCCAACAACCGCAGTCACAGACGCGTCTATATAGATTCACTGTAACAGGTGTTTCATTTTCTACAGAGACCGAGTAAATTCCTGTGTAATGGTTGTGTGGAAGAACCACAGCGTGAGGTCTTTGTTGCCAACGCTCCATAAGCTCTTTCCGAATGTTGTCCGGGAAATGATATCCCGCTTGCTGCCACATCATACCAGCAGTGCGACGTTGGGCGAAGAGCTGGACTAGCTTGTCAAAAGTCGCTCGTACAAGGGCACTGTGGCAATGTCCTACATCCTTTGAGAGCATTGTTGAAACTTTCTGAAAGGTTTGTCGTTAAAATACCATAATGACAACCACCATCAAAACAAAGTGATGGCATCTCAGTTTGACGTCACGGAACGATGATTCATGCCACACACGATCGGCACGATGGTCATCGGGTACCATAAATAACACCGAACGATCCGGAGGCCCTGGGTGTGCAACTCGTTCGGCCATTATAAACCTAAAATTAACAACCAAACATAAACTATTTTTTTTTAAATATTTTTAAGTCATTCATTAAATGTGTTCAATAATATCGCGTAGTTTAACAGTAAAACTAACGTTATATTTTATGTAGTACAGAGTACTACATAACAAATACTCCGTAGTAATTTCTTAGACCATTAACTAATACCTAGTATGTCATTTTTTCTATTCACCTACTTTAGTACCCCGAATTTGGTGCAATTTAGTATATTACTGAGTGCGTATTCCGAGAAATTTTATCTGACCGGATAAATTTTTATCTGATAAAGTGTATTTTTTTTATCTGACCGGAGGCATTATTGGGGTGGTTGGAAATAATGAGGTTAGGTGTGCAGTGGATGAGTGTGTATTCCGAGAAATTTTATCTGACCGGGTAAATTTTTATCTGACAAAGTGTATTTTTTTATCTGACCGGAGGCATTATTGGGGTGGTTGGAAATAATGAGGTTAGGTGTGCAGTGGATGAGGGCGTATTCTGAGATATTTTATCTGATTGGGAATATTTTTATCTGATAAAGTGTATTTTTTTCTCTGACCAAAGACATTATTGGGGTGGTTGGAAATAATGAGGTTAGGTGTGGTGTGACACCGCACCCGGATGTACTTGAATTTGGAATTTGATATGTATTCGAATTTCCTAACGAATAAAATTCGTGAAATTGATTGGCATATTTATTTAATGTGCGATTAATTAAATTATTTATCGGGTCCAGTATATGTGGCTGGGCCACCAAATATTTAGTTGGGTCATCATAGTAAATTATAGAAGCCCAATAAAGTGCCAACAAAAGTTGATAAAAATATTTGGACAACCCGAGTGCTATTTTGGCCCAACCTGCCGAAAATAGCAGGAATAATTGGGAGGGACTTTCTATACCCAATTGGGGTTTTTCCTACACACTAATTAGACTCAAATGATAAGGGAGGGGGCCACACATGTGGTTTTGTGCGTGCATGAAGGGAGAGGAAGCCTCCATGAGACAAAACCAACACCCCCATGACCCCATCACCAAACAAATGAGTTGATTGACTTGGTGATGCCTCTCCCCTATCCTCTTCATTCTCGGCCAACCATAGGAGAAGAAGAGCTCCAAGAAACCCTCTCACCAAGGTCACAACTTGAAGGGAAAAATCTGGGGAAAGTCCACAAGAAGTAGCTTGAGTTCAAGGTAAGAACTCTACTACCCTTCTTTAACTAGTTTTGTGTTGTATGATTTTTGAGAAATCATATGATGGATTAAACCACGAGTTTTACACGTTTAAGGGTGTATAATATTGTTATATAGTGGTGGTAATTAACTTAGAAGAGTCGTGGAATCGATAGGAGTTGAAACCACCGGAAACCGCCAAGGAGAAGAAGCTGTTCGTAGTTGCAGACTACGAAAGCCGCCCGGCTTTGGGTGAAAGCCGCCCGGCTTTTGGGCTACTGTCCAGGAATTTTGCTTTTGATCGGTTTAGAACGGGGATCGATCGAAGGGCTTATCAAAGGCAACTAATCCAGCACTTCATAAGGTGAGGATGGCTGACTATGTTGTTTATAATCTTTGGGTTAATTTCGTAAGATTACCTAAAGTGATTAAATGTTATTTTCATGGATTATTAATGATTAATAATGCCTAAATGAAAATATTGTTGTCAATGAATAAAGGAGCATAATATACAAATTTAAGGATAAATTGGGTATGATTATGTAATATGAGCATATTGGCTTGATGAAGGGATTAACTATGAATATTATGTTGAAATATAATTTTAACTTCATATAAGGATATATGAGTGATTAAAGATCATATTTTGTATATTGATGTGAACTATATTTTCAATGGAAAATTAGTTGAGAATTGTCTATATGACTATGAACTGAAATGAGATTTTGTTGGAATTTATCCGACTAGTATAATGATACTAGTCGGGGTTTTGGAATGAAATATGTTAGAATTGATCCAAGGTTTGGATTGTAAATTGTTGGGCCTTAAGTAGTCTTAAGAGATACTAAGGTGGATAAGTGATGCTAGGGGTAGGCCTTAAGGGATACCCAAGATAAAGTGAATAATAAATTGATCCTAGGAATAGGATTGGCCTACGGGTGTATTCGGTAGTCTTTAAGGATTAGCCGATAGAGTATTGGTAATTAGTAAGGACCATGGCCCTTCCCGACTCTAGAGAGCGGGGTTGGATAGCATGGACTTACATCGTGATCACGGGTTAGGGTGGAATCCGAACCGGAGACCTTACGAGGCTCCCGACAGCGGTAACACATAAGATAGGACCCCGAATGGACCTTACCTTCCTACGGGACGATGGGTATGAGTTCAGGGGCGGGATGTTGGACTCCGGCCCGGGGACCTGGTGAGGCCTCGGAGAGCGGTGACAAGTCTCGTAAAGGATGATAAGACCTACGGGCGGTGTCGTGCTAACGACGGGTATAATGAAATATATGAAATGGGCCGTGTGCCGACAAATAAATAAATTTACTTATTATAGAGATAATAAGTGGGAAATATAAATTATTATTTATATTATGATATCACCCTATTTTGAGGGTCTTAGAAATTGAAACATTGATTATACTTGGTATAGTTGTCATTGTACTTGTCAAATGCTTCCAAGTACTGACCTCCCCTTCACGGGGGAGGCCACCTCACAGTTTCAGGTAGGGAGTAGAGCTTGCTACCAGTGCCCGTTGCCTCGGGAAGACCTAGGAAGGAAGACGTGGTTCGTGCTTCCTCCGTCTCTATTTTAAAAACATTTCAATTAATGCTCATGGATATTTTTGAATGATTATTGGGGCTTGTATGCCCATGTTTGCCGGAGTGTGGCATAAACACTTGTATTAAACGTTTCCGCTGATTTCAATTGATTATTTTACATTATGTTTGTTTATGGATGTACTATTGTGAATGATATTCAAGACGCCTAGTATAGTATGGATGAGTTGGACTGCGGTTGACTATTCGTACTGTACGGCGGGTTGTTGACGTGTCCGGTAGGTCCGGGGCGTGACAATTTAGTTGGTATCAGAGCCTTAGTCCGTAAACTTCATAATGAAGCTTCAAAATCCCTTTTGAAAATGATTTTTGCAAACCATGAGCATAAAGTTTTGTACTTATGGAACTTTTGGTACTTGAGTTGCAAAGTCTCTAATTGTTAAGATGGTACCCTTAACAATTGGTATGGCGGTGATTTGAGCCAAAAGATGTCTTTAAGTACCTATCCGTCACTTGACATTTGATACGAGTCTAATGGCTCAATCTAAACTTCTTTCAGAAATGGAGCCAATCGGAAGAATCACTAGGAGGAACCCGACGGGCCGTGTACCGGGTGGATCCGAACGCGGCAGCCGGGGGTCCACTAGGGTGTCAAGGGGAAGGGGCCGTGGAGGCCAACAACAAACCGTGAGCGATGGCCACGTCGACACGGAGAGTGAGACTTATTGGTCCTACGAGGACTCAACCTATAGACCGGAAACCGAGCCGGTGGAGACCCCTTATGAAGGGGATGATGATGATGTTAGTGACGAGGAGCAAGATGGCTCCTTGGCAAGAATTGAGGCGCTGCTCCAACAATACCACCGAGAGCGCGAGGAGAGGAGGGAACGCCGAAGGCGCCGAGCGGGGCAACCTTCGGGTATGGCTTCAAGAGGAGGAAGCCACAATGCATCTAGAG